CCCAAGGGCGTCAGCTCTAAAGAGGAGGCCTTGGCTGGCCCCGTGTAATTAACTGCACCCACCCAGACAGAGGTCCTCAGAAGACATGGTCTGAGGGAGGGTCTGCTATGGAGAGATCCCAGCCTGGAAAATCCCACAGAGCCCGCAGTTCTACTCTGGCTTCTATTTCCAGGAAGTCGGAGTCCCCCTGACAGCCGCTGACAACCACGGCATTTTGCCATCCTCCCAACTTAGCCCCGGAAAGAGAGAGAGAGAGAGATCGGTAATCAGTCCTCCTAAATCAGAGAGGTGGGGAGTGTGGGGCACATGGGTGGCTGCCTGCCATGAGGGTCTTCCCCTGCGCAGTGCTGCTGGGTGTTAGGGGAACACTGCCTGCTGGCATGGGCACCTGGGGATTGTGGCAAGGGGGTGATCCACGCCCAGAAGACTGGTGGGGGGGATAAGATGACAGCTGATGTGATTTCCCAGTAGGCAGGGACAACATGTTCTCGGAGGCCCAGGGTGCAAACAGTTCACCTGCTCAGTGGCTAGCCCGAAGGCTGGAGGTTTGAGGGCTCCCAGGGGTGCCTGCAAAGAAAGGCTTGGGAACCAACTTCTGAAATCTCAGCCGTTGAAAACCACCGTCCACTGGATGGGTCACTGGGAGGCCGAGTGGATTCCACTGCACTGGACTGGCAGAGGGACTCCCGTTGAGTGCCCATGTCTCAACTGGACATGGCGGATGAGAGGCCCTGCCTGCCCTCCCAGAGGACGCCCCCAGACACATACTGATGAGGTTGGCCATTTAATGAGCTTTATCACACATACCCCCTCCCCTCCCTCTGTCTCCTCCTTCCTCAGAATGGGCCAGGCCTCCCTGTGGTCACCAAGGCAGGCCCTTCTGCTTGCTCATAAACGTTTCAGGAAAAGGAGCTGAAAAGCGAGTTAGGAAAATCACAGCTTTCGGGGCCCCACTCATGGGCTGACCACACAGTCCCACGTCACCGTGGCGTGGCGGCTCGGGAGGCGGAATCCCAGGCCAGGGAGAGGTTGACACCCCTTCACTCCAGAGGTTCTCCTATCTCAAGTGAGACAGTTCGACACTGGTACAGACCTAGAGGATACGTTGTAACCTGCCTCCCAGCTGCACAACATGCAGCGAGGGGTCTCCCACAGAGCTGCAGCTGCTGGACTTCAAGCACCGGAAGGAGCAGCACGGATAGGATGCTGGAAGAGAATGGGCTACTTAGCCTTTGCGTTACTTCCAGCACCTAGAACAGCGGCTGCCGCGTAGTAGGTGCTCAGTAAGCATCTGCTGGCAGAACGAACGCCAGGTGTCAAGTGTTCTCCATCTCCAAGGACAGCAGAGTAAGAGCCAAGAACCAGAGCGGAGGCTACGGACGGAATCCAGGGCAGACGCGAAGAAGGACTTTCTGAAACCCTGTTCCCCATCTGCGTGTTCCCGGTACGGAGGCGATTCCAACTCGGTGATCCCATGGGGCTGAAATTGAACCGCTCCAGGGGCCTTCCTGAAGGTTATGGGTTGGGCTGCTAACTCTAGGTCAGCCATTCAAAACCACCGTCCACTCCACATGAGAAAGATGGGGTTTTCTACTCCCACAAAGAGTGACCATCTCAGAAACCCACAGGGGCCGTTCTGCCCTATGCTGTGAGTCAGCGTGGACTTGATGCCGTGAGTTTACGTTGCTTTGAGTGGGGTTTGTTTCGCTGGTCTCTTCCGGATGCTACAACTGCCAACCTTTCAGTGAGTAGCTGAGCACTTGCCCATGTGAGCCACCCTGGCTCCTCCAGTTCAGCGTGCACTTAGCGAAAACTAAGGGGGCACCCCCCGTGGGCGTGGGCGGGGTGACAGACGGGTGGATGAGGCACAAGACGCTTCCTGACAGTGCTAGAAGGCTGGGGACAGGGGAGAATTCAGACACAGCAGGGGGAAGGGACGTCTGACGTTTGAGCAAGGCCTGTGAGTGCAAGTTAGGCTCTCAAGGCAGGGGAAGGGGCATGCCAGCCCAGAGACCCGCACAGCAATGATCTCAGGGGCACCGCCAGGAACCACAGCCGCGATGCTCGTTGGGCAGGTGCAGTACAGCCGCTTCCCATCCAGTCTGTTCTGAGGCAAGGAGGCCCTTGTGGGTCAGGTGTCAGAGGACACCTGTGCCCCATAAGCTTTCGTTGGACTCTCTTTCGAGGGGTGGATGGATGGGCTCTGGGGTCGTAGTTGAACGCAGGGACCACATGCACCATGCAGGGACTCCCGTAACTATAAGACCTCACTCTACAGCAACCCTGCGTGGGAGAGCGAGCTCTTTATCCCCTTCACAGCTTAGGAAACAGAGACTCGGGCCACTGAGCAAAGGCCACACAGCTGCAAGTGCCAGAATCGGGACCAGAGCAGGGAGGAGGCATCCCGCGGGCAGGAGAGTGGGGGAGGACATGGGGCGTGGAGCAAGAGTATGCACCTCACAGGCCCCGCGGGAGCCCCTGAGCAGGGCTCTGTCCCTGGGGAGCTGCTGGGTTCTCCAGGAGAGTGGCCCCATGGTCCAGCACATTCCAGAAGATCACGCTGGCCACAGCAGCTGAGGGAAGAGAGCTGTTGGCAGACAAACCAGTTAGGCAACTGTTGCGATAGCCCAGATGGATGAGGGGCCTGGACGGGGGCTGTGGCAGGAGGCATCTGGTGGGGGGGTAACCAGACATAGTGGGGGCTGTGTGTGGAGGAGGGCTTGGCTTGGCTGATGAGGGTCAAAGGGATGGGGAGGGACTGATAATGACTGGCAGGTGTTCATCTCTGCCCAGACCTGAGGAAGAAGAGGAGGAAGCAGGTCAGGGACAAGAGGCGTGTCCTTTTGAGCATGTGGTTTGCGGTGGGAGCTGGTGTCATGGGGTGAGAGCTGGGGAGGTGCCTGTGGAAACAGGAGGTGGATGCGGCGCTGCTGTGGGTTGTGACAGCGATTCCCGCAGCCCGGGCTCACCTGCCTTTGCTGTACTGCCAGAGACCCCAGTTCTCACGCCTCTGAGATTCCCCTTCCTTTCGTTTGCCTTGGGGGGGTGGGGGCGGGGAGGATGGGTGGAGCCACAGGGTGTATTTGAGCAGCTGACCTAAGTCAGCGGCAGTTTTTTTAAAATCCTCATGCAACTCCGTGGTGTCTCCCGAAAATGGATTGTGGTGATGACTGCCCACCTTGATAACAACGATTAAACTAGCGGATTGTAACACGGCGGCGTGGGACCTCAGTGGCTCAACCAAGGGAGTTCCCTCTGCGACGTCTTCTTGGTCAGTCCTCCAGGGAGGCCAGGTGGGCAGGGGTGACCACTATCTATCTCCTCGTTTCCAAACCTCTCAGAAGTCATGAGACAAGCCAAGGAGGAAAGGGCGCCCACCCTCCCCAACCCCCCTGCCAGACTGAGCGGGAGCTCACGGCAGCCCCAGGGCCCCATTCAGTCCTGCGGTCATTCCAGGAAGACGCTTTCCCTGTATGACATGGGGCTTGGTCAGGGAAGAGGACTTCGTTCACCAAGATCAGGAGGCGCAGAGCCAAGACGAACCCAGGCCTGACAGGAAAGTGCCTTTATCTCTGCCACCCCAGACTCCGAGTCAGAACTGGAAGGTGATCAGGCCTGCAGTGTGGGCACCCATCAGCCCTTCTCTCCCACCTCTCCGAGACCGTTCTGCCTACTTTTGCTTTTCCCAGTCTTGGAGTTAATTAGTGGAGGCAGAAGGACACACACTCCAATAATGCTCACGGAGTTTGCGTGACATCAGCATCACGAGATATTGCCAAGATGCATCATGCTGGACTTTGTCTCTCTCTCTCTCTCTCACACACACACACACACACACACACACACACACACACACACACGCCCTGGGTCATCAGGGATGGGGGTCCAGAGATCACTAATCAAAGTGTGTTCCTTCCCCGGCTGTGAACTTGGACTAGATGAGCAAGTCAATAGCACACTGCGTCGAAGGACAGGTTTATCACCTTCATGTGGGAAGTTCATTGGGTTAGGAGCTCGTAGTGGGTGGAAAGCTCAAAGCCACTCATCCTTGTTGCCATCAAGCCGATGCTGACTGGCGGTGGCCCCCACCGGGTCGGAGTAGAGCTGTGTTCCCAGGGGGTGGTCAACCGTTGGTTTTTGTAAGTAGACCCCCTCAGGCTGTCAACACCATGCTAAATGGGAAGATCAGACCCCATGGGATTGCCACACACGGTGCCCTCTCTCATTCCGACAATGTACCTGCTGTGGCTTTAAAAAATTTGCCAGGTCCCCCATTGAGGCAGGGGATTCACCAGCAAGGGCTTGGAAGAAGGCCAGCTGGCCCCGGGCTAGACGGTTAGGAGAGATGCATGGCCCTTTGTCTTCTTAGTGCCAGGATTTTAGGGACTTCACAGATCTCCTGGCCCAGCTTTGTCACGTATAGATAAGCAGAGATTGGGAAAGGTGAATGAATCCCGGACGGCCCTCGTCTCTGGGCTCCCCAGCAGCCCGAGTAGAGCCAGCTTGTACCGGGTGAGAAAGGGAGGGAGTGGCCACATCTGTCCTGGGCTCTCTGGCTGTACTTCCCAGGCGGCAGCCGGAGCCAAGTGGGACCAATTGGACTCTTCAGCTGGAGACGACAATGCCTGGCAGGCGTCCCTGAGCGGCACAGGTGCTGAAGCGCTTGGCACCTCACCAGCCAGAGGCACCTTGGAAGAAAGCCCTGGTGGTCTCTCAATGAAAGGTTCCCTTTGAGAACCCTCTGGAGAATCACACTTCCCCTCTGACCGGCATAGGGCTGCCAAGAGTTCCTACTGAGGATGGCAGCAGCCATGTCTGTCACAGTCTTACAAGCTGGGGGAACCTGGGCAGGGATCTATCTCTCTCATCAATTTTCTTCCCTCTCAATCGGGACCGTGATAGGACCTAGTTCATAGGGGTGGCTTTGCCTTGTCAATAAGATGTTGTTTGCTGCTGCAACGATTAATGAATCGTCATAGGGGATCATTCCACCCTGGACGATGGGTGGAGGGAGCCCCCTGTCAGGCTTCCCCCACCGACACAGCGACACCTTCCTGCTCACTGGTATGACGTCACAGGCCCGTGCAGGTGCAGCGGCTGGGACCTCACCTGCCTCTTGGAGGCTCAGGACGTACCGTAGCCTCTTCTCCACATAACTGGCTTCTTTGCTTTGTCAGAACCTGCCCCCTGAAACCCTGCACTGACCTTTTGGGGTGATTTCTTGATGAAAAGGTCATCTCCTTGGGCGGCGGGGCCCCCAATGCATTTCGAAGCCACAATTCCTGCCCAGGGTGGCGAAAGAAAGAGCCCCCTGTCCCCTGAGCCCAACTGTCCAAGGCGAATGATTCACCCCTTGTCATAGATTTCCAAACTCCTCTCCATGCCATTTCCCAGAGTTTTCCCAGTCCCGTCAGCTAGTTCCTCCTGGCTTTGCTGGCATCCTTGGGAGGGAGGTTACCGATGCAGCCATTTGAACCTGGGCAGGTGTGAACCCTCGCTGCTTCCCTGAGGAGCTAGCCGGGCCCTGCCTGTGTGCTCCGTCAGCCAGGTGTGATTCGTGGACCATCTCCCGGGGCAGTTTCCTGGTCTCCTGGTCCCACCTGCAGACCCTGTGATGCTTACTTTCTTCCTGTTCAGTTCAGCATAGGCAGTCACCTGGCCATCGAGGGTGGTGCTGTGGGTTCAGCATTGGGCTTCTAACTAGAAGGTTGGTGGTTCGGGCCCTCCAGCTGCTCTGCGAAAGAAAGTAGAGGCTGTCTGCCCCCATAAAGAGGTAGTCTTGGAAACCCTGCATAGTGTGTGTAAGAGTCTGACTCGACTCAACGGCGGTGGGTTTGGGTTTTACCAACGTCTCTGGGACTTGGAAAGACAGGTGCGATTGTACCGCATTGCGCTTGTGTAACGCAGTTAAGTTCCTGCCGTATTTGTAGACACACTCCGGAATGTCATTCATAGGGAACACTTCCTAAGCCCTGGCTTCTCGGCGACCTACTGGCATATACTTTCCTGTGTCCATGGCTGCCCACCCCTCACCCCTCCCCCCCCATGTTCAGCTGCAGGATTCTGAGAGGGGGATCCTTTAGAAAGGCAGCTGGCTCCCAACCCAGTTGGGAGAAAGGTTCTCTTGGCTAAGTCAGTAAGGCCATGATCAGCATGGGGTGTGCTTTAAGCCAATCACCTTTGGGAGCGAAAGAAGGGCAGTCAGGCAGAGAGCAGGCCCTGCAGACAGAGGGGGAGATACATAGAGGTCCAGGAGCGGAGAAGAGGCAAGGGCCTTCCCCCAGAGCTCAGAGAGAGAGCCTTCCGCTAGAGCCCATGCCCGGGATCTAGACCTCCAGCCTCCTGAACTAGGGAAACCCATTTGTTACGTCACCTCCTGGTGACGTTTCTGTGATGCAGCCCTGTACGTACAGGACTTTAGAGTTTACAGCACATGTTATATGGGTGAGGGGGGACAGAGAGGACTCAGTTCAATCCATAACTGCATGGAACCCCCATTCTGGGCCCATGAGCAAATGCTCACAAGGTGGGGCTGACCCCTGGGCCACGACAAAGGCCCGAGCACCCCTGTTGGCTAGGTAAGACCTTCAAACGGAGCTCAGTGGAGAGAGCAGGGGTCTCCCCCACCGCCAGCGTGTCTCTGACGTCAGGGGAGAGGGGAGCCCGGGGCGGGAAGAAGTTGGCTCTGGAGGAGAGCATGAAGCCCAGAGAGGAACTTCTCTTCTCCAGTTAGGAATGCAGACCCGGCACCCCTTATCTGTAGAAAACAGCGGCGTGGCAAATTTTAATTTATTCCCGAAACACCTTTATGACTTTGACAGCTGAAGAGTGGGGAATTCAGCGGGGGTGGGAGTGGGGGAGGTGATGTGGTGTGTGTGGAAAACTTGCCTTCCCACATCAGCCCGGCCCTCGTCTTCCAGGGGGACTTGGGCAGCTGTGCCCCCTCCTGTAAGGTATTGCCTCCTTAATTGTGCTTAATTAAAGGACAGCATGGAGCCTAGGAACTGATTCTCCTGAGAGTGTGGAAGCGGGGCCTGATGGGGATCCTTGCTCAGGGCAGCGCATGGCAGGCCTCTTAGAGGTGGGCCGAGCACCCCAAGTCTCCTTTTGATGTTACTCTGGGTTTCTGGCCAGCAGAGGCCCAGAGGGAATTAGGTGGTACCAGCAAAGTCGGCATGTGAGCATCCCTGAGACCCCGCCTGACTCTGGGCGGGAATGTTCCAGCTCACTCTAGGTAGATGGTGACAAACAGCCTTGTATGTCTGTCCAGGGGAAGCCCTCAGAGCCACGCCCACAAAGGCCAGGGCTCCTGCGCAGAGCCTGTTGTGCCCCGGGAAGAACCCGCACGGGGAAGATGCGTGTGTGCCACCTTAATCGTTTTCCTTCCTGCCCCGGAGTCCACCCATCTGACCCAGGGCTCTGTGATGGTGGGGTGTCAAGGGCTGTTGGGTCAGTGCTGACTTGGGTTTCTGGGCGTTTGTCATCCTCCCAGGAGTACCTGGCCGGCTCTTTTTCCTACACAGCCTCTGGGTGGATTTGAACCGTGAACCTCTCAGTGGGTAGCTGTGCCCCTGACCGCTGCACCACCAGGGCTCTTTCCCGAGGACAGTCTCTGGGAGGGAGGGCCCCTCTGGCCCAGGCCTGCTCTGAAGCCCACAGGAAAATGGTCGGCATGACTGTTGGATCAGTCCAGATTTGCTTCTTCCCCAGGAGCCAGAGCACCTCCCCCCCCCCTTTGCAAGAAAGAGGACAGGAACCCTCACGGTCCCCGTGGTGGGGTTGGCCAGGTCCCGGGCCGTGGACATGCTGGTTCAACAGGCTGGGGTAACCTGCAGGTGGCCTGGCCTCTCTAGGGTCTCTGCACTTCCGTTTTAGGAAGGAAGTCATTCTAATTCAGAGCTGATGGGTTGCAAAACCCCTGGGAGGTTCCTTCCTCCTCAGAATGCTGTGGCTATATTTCCAGAAAGTGCCGGTCCAGTCCGGTAACAAGAGGCCACAGAAGGTCATTGTTGGCCGGCTTCAGGGCATGCAGCCTGGGCAGTAGAGCACTGCGCGCCGGGTGGTGGCGGACTTGGTGGGCACTCGCAGCCTTGGGACTCTTCCTCGTCTTTGAATTTGAGCTTTGTGACAGAAGCCCAAGGGGGCAGTGGAGTGGGTGCTGGCCTTCGGCCGTGGCATCTCTCCACCTTCCCCAGGTGGGTCTGGTCCCCGCCAGGCCTTGCTCCTTGCAGGGATCTGAACAGAGAGGTGAGGTCAGACATGTGCACACCCTCCAGCGTCCCGGGACAGGACAAGTGGAGGCTGGCCCCATCCCAGGCTGGCAGCATGATCTTAACTTGCTCAGTGCATGGTGACGCAGGGGTGAGCCTCTCCCCTCCCCCAGCCCAGGTATCTGTCAGTGTGTCCTGGTGTGGAGGCTGCAGCACCCTGAGGTACCTGTCTCTCCGGACTGGCCTCACCCACCCCCGGCTGGGGCACAGCCTGTCAGGGTAGCTCCTGGGTCACCTGAATACTTGCCTCCTGTGTCACTGGGGTTCCCAACATCTATACGGGTCTGCACTCACCCCCCTGAGTCTCCCTCGGACAAAAGGAGATGGAGGAATATCAAATGTGAAAACACAAGCCGACCCCCATGCCGACTCATAGCGACCCGACAGGCCGGGAGAACTGCCCCTGTGGGTTTCTGAGACTCTCTGCACAGGCTTGGAAAGCCTCAGAGAGGCCGGTGATTTTGAACTGCTGACCTTGCAGGTAGCAGCCCAATGCGCAACCACTGTGCCACCAGAACCCACGAAGCTAGAGTTTCCGAAACCCGGGAGATGCCAACCGGCAAAGGGGAGTCCTGCCAACAGCCCTAGAGTGAACCCGCAGAAGAAAGGAGTTTTGTGCGGACACTTCGGATGGCGCTCTTTTCTGGCCATTTGAGCAAGAGGGTCCCGCGGATTCCATTTTGCCTTGGGGCCCCACCCACCGAGACATAGCTGACCCTGTCCGTTGGTCGCTTTGTTAAACTTCTCCGTCTGCCTCTCAGAGGCCTTACCTGGGATCTTTCCAAAAGGCATGTGCCCAATGGACTCTGACCTCTGCTCTCTCCTCCCCCCTCAGGTGTTTTCCTAGCGGTGTGCCAGGCCCTGGAGAACACCACGTCAGCTCTGAGCGGTGAGTCCAGCCCCTCCTCGCTGTGCTTGGGGAGTGGGGGGCCTGGGGCGGTGACAAGACCCTGGCTGGCTTGTGGAACTGAGCTCTGCCCTGGACCTTGAAGAGCCTCTTGTACACCCTGTGGTCCCCAGAGGCTGGAGTAGCACCTGCTGGGATGTCTTCACCATAGGCCCTTGGGGGTGGGCGTGGGGTCTCCTTCTCCCGGCTCTCACCAGTGCTTCAGATGGGTTGGTGTGAACAAGCCAGTCCGGAAACGGAGCCCAGGGCCCCAGCACCTGCTCTGTCCCCATTTTCTAGCTCACAGAGTAATCCATAAAGAATCCAGATTCCCTAAACCCTGTTGTCGGCTTCTGCCTGGTGAGCTGTGGTTAGTTCTTTTCTGGTTTATGCTTTGAAATGTGTAGCGATAATCTCCTCTTGGTGGTTGTTTTCATCCTAAAGGCCCTTTAGCAATAATTTGGAAGTAGAGGCACAGAACCGTATGTGATGGTGGTACTGCAGTGAAGCAGCCACCGTGGCCGTGCACGCACCCACACTCTCCAGTCTTTGTCCACGCGTGTGGATATTTGTGTAGGAGAGATCATGGAGAGGAAGCTGTTTTAATTTCTGCTTTGTGTAAAACTTGAGTTGGAGGGTGGGGGTTGTGCAGGGGTTTATCCATGTCATTGGAATGTTTTGAAATTTTTCCATTCAATATATCAGGATGCTCCACTCAATGAGCATGCATAACTGAATGAGACACTCCCCCCCCCCAACCACACACACACACACACACACACACACACACACTGAGCAGTTACGAGGAGTTGACTATGTGTGTCTCCACTGCATCTTCAGGCCCAGAAGCACCCGCCTTCTCTGGGTTGGATGCTTTGCTTGGGTGAATTTCCTGGTGCTGTCTGCATCCGAAATGCAGGCATCTGCCCATTGCCCTATCCCTTGTGAACCTGGAGTGTGTCTCATTGGCTTCCTACCCACCCCCCGCCCGCCCCCCAGCTCTATGATTGCAGGAACCCTCGTCTCGTCCCCTAGTCATTTCACTGACATCCCCAGGGATGTTTATGTGCCCATAAATTCCCTAATCACCCACCCGGTGCCCTGGTACTTGTGCTCTTCTTCTCATTGAGAACTTTTTCTCTAAACACACAGGAGACGAGGATCTCTCTTCCACGGGGCACCCCTGCTTCTGCAGCCCACAGCCTCCCCTTGGCCCCGGGATCTTGGGTGTACTTTGGTGGTCCATGGCATGAGCAGAAACGCCTCTCTTTCTCTGTTACGCTTTCTTGGGGCTAACTGTGTGTGTCTGTCTGTCCTGAAGCAGTGTTTCTGGGATCCGAGGTCTACCAGAGTTTCCATAAAGCATCTTTCCCTTTTAATTACCTCGCATACCGCGGAGGGCTCAGATGTGAACACCTAGGGGGCGTATAGTCTACCATCTGTGCCTCACGTACTGTGGACATGTTGTCAGGAGAGACCAGTCCTTGGAGAAGGCCATCATGCTTGATAAGGTAAAGGGGCAGTGAAAGCGAGGAAGACCCCAAGGAGCTAGATGGACACTGGCTGCAACAGCGACTTCGAGCACAGGCACAATGGTGTGTGGACTGGGCAGTGTCTCCTTCTGTGGTGCAGAGCACTGCTATGAGTTGGCACTGATTCAATGGCGTCTGACCACCTCAGTCTGCTGAGACCACCACGCCGTTCTCAGAATTGCCACCCGAGGGTGCACTGGGTCTCCCAGGCGTCTTCAGCCCCTCCTACAGACAGGCCTTCCTTGCCGCCTTCAGCCCCTCCTACAGACAGGCCTTCCTTGCCGCCTTCGCACAACGGTTCTCAACCTGTGGGTCGTGACCCCTTTGGGCGGTCGACCGACCCTTTCATAGGGGTCGCCTGATTCATGACAGTAGCAAATGACAGTGATGAAGTAGCCAGGAACATAGTTTATGGTTGGGGGTCACCACACCATGAGGCACTGTATGAAAGGGCCGCGGTATGAGGAAGGCTGAAAACTGCTGCCATAGCAGTCCTCACACCCGAGGCATCGTTTGAGAGAACCTGGACACTGGGCCAGTTGGGAGGTCATCGTGTGTTCTGGTCATTGTCCCCATTATCTTCAAGCATTCCCATGAGTTGAGATACTTCTGGTGCTTGCACCCTTCTCGGCCATATTGGGCGGAGCTGAAACATTAAGGCCTTGAGGTTAGGCCCGATGGGTAGGCTCAAGGTCTCTGTCCCAGACCTCCATCGCAGTTCTCTGGCCTCTCAAGCTGCTCCCAGTTCTCACTGTCTGGCCTGGCCGGGGGCACTGCCACACCACTAACAGTGATAACAATGCAGGTGATGTCCTGAGTCGGGGAAATAGGCTCCTGGTGATTTCTCCCCCTCCTCTCAGCCCTCGTCTGTTCATACCGACACAGAAAGTCTAGGAAATGTCTCCCTCAGGCCTGTTCCTTCAGGGGCTTGGTAATACTCCTGCCTTGGCCACTTGGGATTTCCAAGCCTATGTGGACAGACATAGGTCAACCTCCTACACTTCTCAAAAAGAAAAAGAGAAAAAAGACTGTCCTTTTTGTAATAAGGACCCCCACGTCTGTTCCATCTTTCCTTTCTCAACGTCTTCTACTAGAATGTCCCTGGCATCAGAAAGGATCTTTCGGATCGTGAAATAGAAAAGGGATGAAGTCCCCCCTCCTGGCTTTTCAGGAACATTCTGGTTGTACTTCTTCAAGATGGATTTGTTCATTCTCCTGGCAGTCTGTGGTCAGGGTGCTTCCCTCCAACACCATGCCATATTAATTCTGCTCCATTCTGTCTGATACATCGTCCAACTACTATGCAGCAATTGAAAATACCATGGCTTGGGTGAAGTGCACCTTGATCCTCAAAGTAGTATCCCTGCTTTGCGAGACTTTAAAGAGATGTTTTCAGGCAGGTTTGTTCCTTGTCATACATCGTTTGATTGCATGAGGACTGCGTTCGTGGGCATCGATTGTGGATCTAAGTAGAATGAGGTCCTTAAGCAACTGCAATCCACTTCAGATGATTCTTGTTTTCTTTAAGTTGAAATATAGTCTGTACTGAAGGCTATGATCTTTGATCTTTATCAGTTGATGTTTCAAGTTCTCTTTGTTTTCAGCAAGCAAAATTGTGTCATCTGCATGTCACAGGTTATTAGCAAACCGTCTTCTAATTTTGATGACATGCTCTGGTAATAGTCCAGCCTCTCTGATTCTTTGCTCAGTATACAGCTTGAGTAAGTATGGTGAGAAGATAAAACTCTAATGCACCCCTTTTCTGATTTTAAATCACCGTGTATCAACTTGTTCTTTGTGAATGACTGCTTCTTGGTCTATGTATAAGTTGTTCATGAGCACAATGAAATGTATAAGTTGTGCATGAGCACAAAGCACAATGATATGTTTTTCACAGTATCACACATTGTTCGTTATGATTCATGCAGTTGATTGGCTTTCCACAGTCAATGAGACAGGTAAAGCATCTTGATGCTATTTTCTGCATTAAGCTAAGGTTTGTCTGATAGCAGCAATGCTATGTCTTGTTCCATGTCCTAAATCCAGCTAAAGTTTCAGACAGTTCCCTAGGGATGGGCTGCTATAACTGTTTTTGAGTTATTTTCAGCAAAACGTCCCTTGTTTGTGATGGTCATGGTATTGTTTAATAATGTCTTCATCCATCTGGGTCACCTTTCTTCAGCTTAGGCACATGTATGGATCTCCTTCTGTCAGGTGGCCAGGGAGTGGTCCTCCAGATTTCTTGGAATTGATGACTGAGCCTTGCAACTGTTTGTTGAAATATCTCAATTGATATTCTGTCGGTTCCTGTAGCCTTGTTTTTCACCAGTGCCTTCAGTGTAGGTTGAACTTGTTCCTTCAACACCATCAATTCGTGATCATATGCTATCTCCTGAATAGGTTGAATGTTGATCACCTCTCAGTATAGTGACTCTGTGTATTCCAATCATATTCTTTAGATGCTTCCCGCTTCATTTAATATTTTGCCTATAGAATCCCTCAATATTGTAATTCAAGGTTTAAGGTTTGGTTTCAGCTCTTTCAGCTTGAGAAATATCTAATGTGTTCTTCCCTTTGGCTTTCAACCTTCAGGTCTTTGCACACTTCTCGATAATATGTTGTCTTCTTGAACCACACTTTGACATCTTCTGTTCAGCTCTTTTACGTCGTGGCTGTCTTTCCTTTTAGCTATTCGACATTCAAGAACAAGTTTCAGAATCTCTTCTGACATTAACGCTGGTCCTTTCTTTCATGTCTCATTTGCTCAACGCCAGGCCTGTGCATGTAGACATGAAGATGGGGCGTGGCGGTCTCTGTAAGAGTTGATGGAAATGCAAAGCTATCATGGTTAGAAAGCGGGTTGTGATGTGCTTCTGAGTGGTTGGAGTAGAGCAGGGCTATAGGAACACGCAGCATGGCCTCGTCACATTTCAATGGATATCACTGTAGAGAAAAGGAAGCTTCCTGTGCCAGTCAAGGGTGTTGTAAGGGCCTAACGGCACTGACCCATCTGGCTTTCTTGTGCTTGTTTGGGAACCAGCAAAAAGACCCATGCTTTTACTACTTCACAATCGCCTTTAGCCTCTTCCTAAGCTCTCATTGGTTTCTTCTTCTGAGCATCCTAGATCTCAGGTCCCCAAATAGGGAGGGTACGAGGGCGCCATAAACCGAGGAAACTGGCATTCTTGACAAAAGTAGGTGCTTCTCAGACATCAGCTTAGGGTGGGAAGCTGGAAGGATGGAGTGCCAAGGCTTGAGGTGAGGCATTCTGGGGTTAGGCCTAGTTTCGTCTCAGTTCTGCCAAGTCCCTGCTCTTGCACATTATTTATCTGGCTCCTGTTTGGATCTTAGTTTCCTTCTATCTTGGACTTGCATCAGCAATAACCTGTATGTTTTGGTCACATGATCCCTTAGATGGACGGGTGGAGCTGTGCTGACAAGGATTATAAGGTTGGTAAAAGTACCACAGTG